GCCACCTCGGCAGGCTCCGGTGCACCTCCAGTCCCGCCCATGCCGCAGCCCCCCGCCACCTCGGCAGGCTCCGGTGCACCTCCAGTCCCGCACATGCTGCAGCCCCCGGCCACCTCGGCAGGCTCTGGTGCACCTCCAGCCAGTGCCAGCTGCCACATCTCTGCCTGGGGCCTTTCTCCAAAGCCCGAAGTGCTAGGACTTAGCCCTCCCCACCCTGGATGGACCAGCCTGAAACCGACAGCTCCCCAAGCTGATGTTCAAGAGACCAGTGCCCTCACTCCCAGGTGGAAGGCTCAGAGGCCAGGGTCCTGCCTGGGCCCCAGCAGGGCTGACGGGGAGTGCATGCCCTCCAGGCTCTCTGAACCTCTCAACGTGCTCCTGAACCCCATCTCAAGGTCTGCTTGTGGGCGACCCAAACCAAGGCCTAAGCCAACTTGTTTTGCTTTATTGTGATATTCATATTCTTTGACCAGTATTAACAATCCTAAATATTTAAAAAACAGTAAAGATGTTCATTAATGTTATTTATAATTATATAAAACCAGAAAGACCTTAAGATCCAACATCAGGGGAATGATTAAGAGACTACAGCAAACCCGCTCACGGAGCGAGCACGCAGACGGCGCGTGTGGCGCTGTGAGAGGCGGGTGCAGGACGGAAAGTGTCCGCAGCACGGGCTCCGGAAGACTGAGAGCACTCGAGTCACAGCGGGCAGATCTGAGGGACTTTGTGCTTCACCTTTTGTGAGATGGGATCTTGCTATGCTGCCCAGGCGGATCTCAAACTCCTGGGCTCCAGCGATACTCACATCGGCCTCCCAAAGTTTTGGGATTACAGGTGTGAGCCACCACCCCAGCCCCTTTCTTTTCTTGTAAATAAACTGTCTTTAATGAATATACATCTGTCACTAAAATAAAAAACAGGTTTTGATATTGCTTGGTTGCCAGCTGGGCCAGGGACAGCACAGACAATGGCCTCTGACTCGGTGCCCCCACTTCCTGCCTCACACCAGCTGAAAGGACTGGTCAGGGAGTGAAGTGCTCCGTCCCTCTGGAAGAGGACAGCAGGGGAAGGTCACAAGCCCAGGACACCACCCTTGAGAACAAGCTTCCTTCTCCCCACTTAGTCCTGGCAGGGCTGTGTCGCCAGTCACATGAAAAGCCACAGCGTGCCTGAGGCCCGGCGGTGAGGGGCCCGTGCCTCACCTGCTCGGGGGCTGAGCACGGAGCAGCTGATGAGACACTGGTCCTTCAGGTGGAGCAGCTGCTGGCAGGTCCTGTGCTCCCCGGGGCCTGTCCCGTCCTGCTGGCCTCTGCTTCCTGCTATGCCCTTCAGGTTCCATCTTTCTGCCAGGCCGCCAGTCAGGTCCACCAGGGCATCCGCCACCTGCCCTGCCCACAAGTGCTCATAGGACCCATGGACCCTAGGGGACACAGTCACCATGGAAGTGAGCCTCTGGCATTGGACATGGCCACCCCCGACTCCCATGGTCGACAACACCCCAAGTCGTTCGGCCGCCACCTCAATCACACATCTTTATTCCCCTCTGTGCCTTCCTTCTCATCCTCGTCAGGTCAAGGCTTGGCCTCCCCTTCAGACACCTTACTTCACAGCGAACCCGAGTGACCCTCGCATAAAGACACTTTCTGGCCTCCGCTGTGGGCACAGGAGCAGGGCAGGAGGGGTGGAGGCTGCGGATGCCCATGCCCCTCGGCTCTCAAGCTCCAGCCCTACTTTTCCAAAACCAGCCCTTGGGACGGAAGGTCACTGGTACTGATGTCACTGGCCAGCCTTCCCGTGTCCGCCAGCTTCCCTGCCTGTGTCAGCCCAGTTGCCTTTGGCAAGATGATAAATACATTCTAAGAGGAAAGGCTGTTCAGTTATGACTCATGGTGAGGGTCCTGGTCCCGGAGCCAGCACCACGATACAGAAGTGCTGGAACGTTGGGGTGGCCTCACTTCTCCCTGGCAACTACACAGCAAGGTCGCCTGTCCCAACCATTCAACAAACAGAAGCCTCTCTTGCCGGGGTGGAGAACACAAGGAAGCCAGCGCACATGCTCTCTGTGGAGGATGACCCAGTGCTAGGCTTTGGAGCAAGGGAAGGGAAAGAGGGAGTGGGCAAACCACAGGCCTCGGAGGAGAATCTCTGCATCTGGCCAGCCTGCCAGACCCACAGGACGAGACCCTCAGAACCAAAGCGGGCTCTGCAGCCCGGAGTGAGTGGAGACCCTCCCAGGGCAGCCTGTGGTGGCAGCAGCTACCACTCGCCCCAGACCAGGCCTTTCGGGCCCCAGCACACGCACTTGGCATAGACCTTTTCCAGTAAGGGGAGCCAGAACACATCCTCCCTCTGGCAGCGGGAGAAACAGAGTCTCCCTGCAAGGCACGGCAGGCGGTCGTCTGTGGTCACCTCCACCCAGTGTCCAAACTGCCAAATGCGACAGGTGAAGGAGCCCTGGTACTCCTGGTCATCCCAGCTCGGCTGTCCCGGAGGAATGACCTGGGCACACACAGGGAGAAGCAAAGGCAAGCATCACATAAGCATCGCCCCGCACAGCTCCGGTGTCCCGGCCACAGCGTGGCCACAGCTGAGCACTCTGCAGGCACCACGCTCTGCAGAGAACTCTGTGGCACATCTGGATGTTGGTGCGTGCACAGGGCTTGAGCACCGCACACGAGATTAATAGACCTCTCACTGCAATGCTTGCGGACCACACCGAGGGAGCCACGTATCCCAGGACACAGTCTGCTGCCCTCACTAAAAGCACCTGACCTGAAGCCAAAACAAAGTGACTTTCAAGGGCATGAGTGATCCCGTTCCTGACTAAGCTGGCTGCAAGCAACATGTCACCACAGGAATGGCAGCCCCTCTGCTGCTGGGAGCCTGGTGCCCCCACACTGGGCCAGCTGACTGCATCCCCACGTCTACCGCGGGGCTCCTTCAGGGGTAAGCATTCTGACCCAGAGTCAGGGGGAGTGCAGGCCGGGCACCACTCCCCCGACGCTGGTACGGTCCTCGCTCTGCCACTTACTGGCCCCACAATGGCAGTGGTTTTAGCACTCATTTGTTTAAAAAGAAAGAAACAAGAGTCAAAGCAGGCAAGGCTATGACACTGAGAGTCAGTGACTGTGACATGCTTAGCATGGGGCCTGGGAATGAGTGACACGCCGAGTGAGGTCACCACTGTCAAGGCCGCTGCTTTAATCAGCAATGCTCAGCAATGAGCCAAGCATAAAACCATGAAGACTCCTAGGTAAGGCAAACCTGAGAAGGCCTTCTCCGCCCAGAGTATCTGTCTACCGACAGAGCCAGGTTTAATCATCTTTTGCAAACGCTTTAAGAAAGCCAGGCAGCTAGCTCCTGAGAGATCTGGGGCAGAGGCCCCGGCCACCCGTCCTGTGAGCTGGCATGTTTGTCTCTTTACTCTAAACGTGGTGCTCGGACTCCATGGAGAGCCCGGGGCTCAGGAGGGCAGAGAGCTGGATGAACGCCTCCCTGACGGAGCCCACTGGCAGGGCCAAGGCCCACCCCCCGCAGCAGAGGGACACAGTGCAGTCCTCAGTCTCTGCCTCAGAACGCTCCTGTCTTTCCCCCACACGGCGAGAGACCCACTGCTGCACGGGTCTGTTTCACGAGGGCTCCTGGTGCTCAGCGGCCAGGAGAATCGTGCAGAAGACAGACCAGCACCAGGACAAACAGGGAAGAAGGGGCCCCCACCTGGTTCAGGAGGTGCCTGCTCTTCTGCAGGGCGGCACAGGCGCACAGGAACCAGCAATCCCCCAGCAGTCCTTGCTTCACCTGCCCTTCCCGTGGGTCATCTGGAAACAACCGGGGCGTGGCACAGATCTCCTGAAATGAAGAAAGTTGTCCAGAGTCAGATCATGCCTGCTGGGGAATCCTTCAAACTAAGAACCCAAGGATTTAGGTGAAGGGTTGGGGTAGAGCTTTTCCGATCATCACTGTAGCCCAGAAGGGGACAGGGAGGTGGTTTCCCGTGGCGGGTGTTCTTCAGCTCCTGGCTTCAAATCCCCCTGTCCAGCTTAATTCTGGGTGGCCTGTCTCTGTCTTCCTTCCTTACCGGAAAAATCGCAAACTCTCCCAAGCTCCTTCTCAAAACAGCAAAATGTTGGTTTAGAGAAGTTTCACTTTTCATTCATGCTGGCAGATCTCAAATGCGTCCTCCATCCTGCTGGAAGTCTTCCTGTTTCTCTAGCAGGCTCCATTTCCCACATCCCCAAACTATCACAGACCTTCCCCTTTCTCCCCGTCTTCGCAAAGCATCCACACTCCCCCTGCCCGCCCCTCTGAGCTGCCAACCTTGCCTCCTGCTTCTGGACCTGACCCTATCTCCTGCCCTCTGGCCACCTCAGAGCCTGGACTCCTTCCTTTCCACGTCCCGGGGCAGAATCCCAGCAGCATGAAGACAGGAGAGAGGCTGCCGTGTTCTTTACGACATTACCCCTCAGCACCAGTCTCCTTCAGGCTTCTCCTCGTTACAACCTGAGAAAGCACCGTGACACCCACTGCTGCTTCCCATTCGCTCACCACACAGGCTCTCCAGCTTCTGAGCCAGTCATGCCCCCTGAACTGCCTCTATCAATGTCACTGTTATCTCTGCTACCAAACCCATTGGGCTTCTCTCGGTCCCAACTCTACAGCTACTCAGCAGCATTCAGGACAGCTGCCGTCTGCTACCCCGAGGCAGTCCCCACTCAGTTCCCTGAGGCTGCATGTCCCTGGGTGTCCTCTCTCTCACTCCTGCTGCTTCTCAAGTCTATCTGTCAGGGAAGCTGCCTGACCTCAAGAAATGTTAGGGCTCTTCAAGGCTCAGTCCCAAGGCCCCCTTCTTCTTTACTGATGCTCCCCCAAGACACTCTGCCAGGCTGTGGACCATAAACCATTTAAATGCTCCTCCTCCCAGATGAATGCCTCTAGCCCAGATCTCCCTACTCTGTATACACCTGCCTCCAGGACAGCTCCACCTGAACACCTGAGAGCAAAGTCCAACTCTAGGTCACCCCAGGCTCTGTCCCAGGACCACCATCTACCCACTTGCTCAGGCCAGAGACCTAGAAAGCATGTTGCTTCCTCCACTATCCTCACCCTCTGTTTCAATCAGTCAGTAAGGCTTCTCAGTCCCCGCTGCAAAGTAGGTCTCAAACCACGCTACTCCAAATCCCCATCCTAATGGTCGTCACGCTAATCTGACTCCCGTTCATCTTTCTCCAAGACCACTGTAATGGCCCCTTGCATTCTTGCCCCGACAAACCACTTCCCACCCAGCAGCAAGAGTGAGCTTCTAAAACACACATCTAGACGAATCACTCCTCTACCAAACCCTCTAGTGGCCTCTAACTGCACCTAAAAATCAACCTTTCAACAAAATAAAACCCACATTCCGACGACAAGGCTCTACAAGCTCTGACCTTGCCTCCTCCCCAGCCCTTCCGTGTTGTCCGAGAAACCCGGTGGCCTGTCAAAGCCATCTCAGTCACCAGAGCCCAGAGGTTCCAGCTCTGTTCGAGGGCGGGTGCCATCAGTTGTTTCCGCTAAGACCGCATCCACTTAGGCAAGGCTGCTCCCTGGGCCGTCTCACTCAGCAGAAAGAGCATTTCCGAAAACAATACGGCGCTCGGCCAGGGCATCCCTTGGAGTTGCCATTTTTAAGCGTTTACAACTGGAAAAGCAGGTGCAAAAAATCCCGAAACTGAAATTCTCTCACGCTTTGCTTTGTGGGCTCGGTCTAGACACTCCAGAGGGGCACGGGCGGCCCTCCGCCGGGAGGAGCAGGCACAAACGCTCTGCAGGGCGGAAGCAAACAGGTGGGGGTGCGGCTGGGGCAGGGGCAGGGGCTGGGGCTGGGGCTGGGG